GCCCGCCCGCCAGGCTCCCCCCCGGGGGCTTGCTGAGGCCATCAGAAGAAGCAGGATGCCAGGTTTACACTAAGCCACGGTTTCTCTAGAAATGCCGGGGAAGTGGCTCATCCTCCTGTCATTAATCAGCCAAACTCGGAGCAGCATACGCGGTGAGTCGCTCGTGAACCCTGGGCATGAAACACCCGGTCCCAGCAAGACGCTGTGCAAAGCTCGAGGTTCTCGGGACTCCGAGGGAAACCCTTCTTACTGGCGCTTGAGAAGCTGACAGCCCAAAAGCTGTCAGCTTCTGTGTATTGGTCAAAGGAAATGATTTGCTGTTTCACAGAAACAATGGAAATCCGTGTTTCTGTGAATTCAACAGACTTCACATTTCTAACAGAAATGCCACGTTAAAAATCAAAGGATGACATATTTTTTTTTGTCCCTAACCCACAGAAAAACGAACTGTTAGATTTCCACAGACAGAAGATCTCTGAAATGCTGTTATAATATGGGCACTAATCTGGTCTAAGTTTTACCAATTTTTTCCCCACATAACTGGAAAAACTGAGCCAGATGAACTGAGCCATGCAGCTCCTTTTCCATCAGGAATCTTGATGTTGCCACATTTCATATGGTGTGTGTGTGTGTGTGTGTGTGTGTGTGTGTGTGTGTGTGTATAAATATGAAATGAGGCAACGTGAAGAGTCCTCACTGGAAAAGGAGCTGCGTGTGCATTTCATCCGGCTCAGTTTTCCAGTTATGTGGGGGGGGGGGAAATGGTAAAGCTTAGACCAGGTTAGTGGTTATGAAAGAAACTCAAGCAAAATCTATTTCAAGATTTAATTTTGTTTTAACTTAATCAAATTATCAATCTGTGCTGGGCAATTTACTTCACCATGGGTCTGTGAGTCCCTTAAGCAAGATGGATCTGATAACAGGCCTGTTAAAGACAATGGGCGTTTCTTTTCCATTAACTACAACAGCCTGTGGGATTGGGTCTCATGGGAGCCCCTGTGTGTGGAAGGCGTTTGACCTGCTTTGGATGCAGTTGCCAGGCACATTGTAAACAGTCTTTCTTTCCAGATCCATACAAGCAGGAATGTACTATGAGGGGAATCCAGTGCCATCCAAAGGCAATTTGTCAGCAGGATGAAGTGCAAAACTATTTCTATTGCCAGTGTCTGCCAGGATATGGAGGGGATGGGACTAATTTGTGTCAAGGCAAGTTAAAGCTTAGGCTACATCTAATGGCATAATTGGAGGATCTCCTTTAGGTAGATAGAAGCATGGGCCTATGAATGAGAGTGAGGGCATAGGAGTCAGGACTTCTAGGTTCCTTTTTCTGCTTTACTAATGACTAACCCTGTCACCTTAAGCAAGTCACTTTACCTTTCTCTGCTTCAGTTTACATCTTGCTGGTTGAGCTGTACTAAGTCCTACCTGCTTCTCAGGATTGTAGCAGTTTGGGCTAATGAAATGCTGTAAGAACCTTCTCCGGAAGGCAGTACAAATGCACAAATAACCTGTTGTCATTTGTATAGGCAGTCAGAGCTCAGCTCAATAAACATAGAACTAGCCAAAGTATTAGCCAGGACATGTTGGCCTGTCCAAGCATGAACACTTCCTCCACTGAGCAATCTGTGCCTGGAGAGGAAAGCTTCCTTTGCTGTCCTCAAGGGGAAATGCCCAGCCCGTTGCATGGCACTATCTAAGTCTAGAGAAGGTGACAGCAGGACTGCATGGGCAGCATGGCCTAAGCCGGGACTGATCTGACATTGCCTACCTGCACTGAGGTAGAGACCTAATAAAAAGATGGTAACAAGCAGCTGCAGATAAATGCTGTACCATGATTATCAGGTAAAGATGATCAATGACCTCTTTCTGCTTCTAGACCCTGGCATCAGCATAACAGCACTCAATAAAACTGCTTGTGATGCCTTTGGAGAGCAAGTTTGTCTCATCAGAGTAACTCCTGGAAGGAAAATCACTTTCCAAATCTCTGTGTCTGGGGACTACCAGCCATACATGATCAGTTGGTACAAATTCTACTCTGCCCAAGGACCCCAGTTCCATGGGTAAGTTTTGAACAGTGCTAGTTCTATGTCGTAAGCCTGGGACTATATGAATATATATCACGTATTGACATGCATGTTGTATGAATATATGATTTATAGGTTGGACTCTAACTGTACCAGTTCCTGTAATGAAGAAGTTGATCTTCATAGGTGGTGATGGCATAGCTGGAAATGGTGATAAGATTAGATGCAATAAAATTATTGCCTTGACCTTGGCAAGAATTCAAACCAAGCATAATGTAATCAACCTCTCTGCCATGCAGACTGAAATTCCTGGCTGCGTAAAGGGCCAACCTGAATATTTGAACTACTTGCTTCCTACATGAATCCTTAAAACTGGCCTTAAATGGAGACTTACATACAGGTTCTCTGCATTGACACAGCAATTTTCAAGAAGAGTTTATCTGCAACCACTTTTTTTTTTTCCCCAGCTTTAGTCCATTATCAATCAGAGCAGCTTGATATCTACTAGCCAGGGCTACTTCAAGCTGCTGCAGAGAGCACTGCTAAGGAAAGAAGTGTGCCAGCTGAGTTCAGCAAAGCTTGCAGCACCTTCTCACTCCTGATGTGCCCCTGGAACACTGCCCACTGGGACAGAAGCAGCTGAAGTCAAGCTGACAAAGATGCTTTTTTCTCTTTCCTAGAGGAATCTTCAGCTGCTGCCTTAAACATTTTTAAGTCCCCTCAAAACTGCAAAGGATCTAGCCCACAGCTCTCTGGTCTCACCAGGACTCCTCTTAGGGTCAGGGAGAGTTTGAGTCAAACAGTGAGCACAACAGAAGACCTGGCAAAATATTTATAAGCAAAAGACCTTTAAAGCCCTAGAAGGCAGTAATTGGATATGGGAAAGCTCAGATTCAGTCCCCAGTTCTATCTTTGGCCTCCTAGGACAAGTGACACTTCCCCAAGATACAGGGCACATTCAGTATGATGATGTTAGCAGGCAACCCCCTTAGTTACCTCTGCTCTTTTTTGCAGTTATCGAAGGAGGCTGGAACTGACTGCTGAGCTGTTCCCAAAGATGGCTCTGGCCAATCACCATCTGGAGCTGAAGCTGTTTTCTATTGATGAGGATGATTTTTACCCAAATATGTTCTGGGCTGAATTGGCCACAGCAAGGTTGCCTGATAAACAGGCATGGATTGAAGCTTATGATTTTACTGACTTCGAGAGGTTAAATCCCTCCCACTTGAGATACTTTTTTGTACTGGAAAGGCTGCCAATAGGTACGAAAGAGCTACAGCTACTAGCATGAGAGTGCCCTGCCCTCTTCAGGGTGAGCACAGGCATCTTCAGTCACATTATGCTTATTTCTGTTCCCTATGCTACGTAGCTGGGGGTTGTAATTTATAGATTGAAAAATGTCTGCAGGGGTTTGCTGTGGTCACAGCATCTGTACACAGATGCAAATGCAGTGAGGACTCATCAATTTCTGGGTCCAGACTACCAGAAATGGCCAACATGTACTCATATCAGGTGATGATAATTTACAAAGTGGTGTGGGTGCTACCAGGCTGAGCCCCAGAAGTTTGGGATTTCTAGCAATCCTGCTCTTCATAAGACATCCTTCTTTTTGCAAACCAGCACACTCCAACAGGGAATCTCTAAGGGGTTAGTTTTGCCCTACAAGGAAAAAGTAAAGCACTTGAACATCTACATCTTCCTGTGAAGGCAGCACCCTGAGTAGAGACTCATTTGTTATGTTCATAGCTTTCATTTAGACTTCTATATTCATCTAGACCCAGACTTGGAGTGAGGAGGTCCAGTCTGATTTCCATTTGTCATTTGAATATATGTTGTATTGGATGCTGTAAAAATAAAGCTGCTTATTAATATGATTGTAGTCCCCTTTAAAGTGTTATTGTTTCCACCAGAAAGCTCTATGTATCTCCTTGTGTACCACTGGTCATTAGAGGCTGAACCTCAGTTGGTACACAAGGGAGCTGGCAGCGAGCACTGAGGACATCTAATTTATCACACATTTGTCTCTGACAATCTCATATAGAATGGCAAATAAACCCAAGGCATCTCAGCCTATGGCTCATTAGTTTCTCAGAATAACCTTGTACTTTTGGCACAGTGAATTGGTTGTAATCCTTTTAGAACCATGGAGGAGCCACTCTGAATATCCAGTGGTCTTGTTTATTTTCCATTTTTTTTGCCTGTCCTTTCAGAGGTTGGTGAGTTCTTGGAAGGAGATACCATTACCATACAGCTGCCTCAGTCTCTCCATCTGTCTCCCATCAGCTTTGTGAAGTGGACCAAGCAGCCTTCCTCCCTGATGCTCTTTGGTTCCAACACAGTAGTGCTGGCCAATGGGACAGAGGGGATTGAGATGAAAAGAGTAAGGTATGACTGTAACCTCATGCTTTTCCAATCGAAAAATCTGTATGAATGACAGATTTTTATATTTCCTTCTCAGTGCCCATCAGTAACAGACATCCTCACTGACAGGGGGCTTGGTTATTTGAGGAGAGGGGAACTAACCATTAACATGGCTAATGTCACCTATTGGTGCTTTTAATAACTTCCTAAGAACATGTATTTTCTTAAATGATTAAGAACAGACATAGCAGTAGAGAAGGAAAAGAAATGAAAGTTGGTGATGAACTGAGTTAAAAGGAAAGCAGTCACCTGGGAGAATGTCTCCTTAATCCCTTCCCCTTTTGCACTTGATCTCTTTCCTCTTTCTCCTAGTTCCCTTCTGACTCTCCTGGTCTGAGACTAAATTCAGGGAAACAGCTGAGCTCCTAATGTCCTTTTCTGCTAACTCAGGAGGAAACCAAAGTGAGAAATGTGGACTTTCTCTCTGTTTTACCCTCTCTCAGGAATAGTGAATTTGGTTACATCCGAGCTCTTGTCTATGATTTCATCCCTGGTGTTCCTGGAAGGGTTGTGGTTGCCCAGAGGCTTTTCTTCATAAAGAAGGGTACTGAGTGTTTTTAACTTTATGGTACATTATCTTTAGACCATCTTGATTGCTGTTTGACTTCCATGCCCCCTCTCCCTGTCTTCAAATCACGATAACCTCAATGGCTGCTAGCTTTAATAAAACCACTTTAGTTTAAATTGTAGTGGTTTCTTGCAAAAAATATTGTTTGGCCAATTCTTCCTGACAATTTCCACATAGTGTATGGATGAAACCATTCCCTAGCCTTGCTCATTAGGAATTTTGGCATGTGCATTTGAAAAGGCGCTGAAAAATTGGAAAGTGTATGAAAGAGGGTCACAAAACAATTCAAGAGCTGGGGTAAATGCTTTACAATGAGAAGTCTAAGGAATACAGTCTGTTTAGCTTATAATGAAGCAAGTCAAAACTTGACTGACATACTTTCCTGGGATGAAAGTATTGGATATTATTTAACTCCTCAATCTGGCAGAGAGGCAATCTGAGAGCAACTAGAATTGAAAGGCATGATGCATTAGAATACTAGAAATAAACCACAATTTTTGGGTAGTCCAGGATGCCAAGGGAAGCATTGGACTCTTCAGCTAGTCCACATTAAGACTGGATGCCTCTTGACAACATGCTTTACTAAGGTCAGAGCAGGGGGAACTGGGGTATATCCTATGCACATGCTGTACAGGAGATTAGGCGAGATCAGAGGGTCCCACTTTTTTTTTTTTTGTTTTTTTTTTTTTACTGCATACCAGCTTTCAGATTTACCAGCTGATTGTGTACTGCTATCAGCATGCATTTTATAGTTTAACCCCTTAAATGCCAATTATTATAATGCAAATTAAATCTGCCATTACACAATTTCTCTCGCGTACCCCACAAAGATGTCTTGTGTGCCCCTAGGTATGTGTACCACAGTTAGGGAACCCCTGGACTAAATAATCTAATGGTCATTTCAGGCCTTAAAATCTGAGGTGGTGAATGATTCTATAAAACAGCATGTGACATGTTTATATTTAAAAAGCCAAGCAAGCCTTCTTGTCTTGAATTAGCAGGAAGAATAAAACAGATCAGTTACTTTACTGTGTCTGAGTTCTTGCTTGGATTTGGGTTTGGGCACATATGCATTTACTTTATCTCTTCAGATATCAGCAAAGTATGCAGTGAGTCTTCGGGTGAAAAGTATTGTCACTGTAACCCTGGATTTGAGGGAAATGGCAGCCACTGTGTGGGTAAATATTTATGTACTTGGCTTCCTGCAAGTCTCTGATTATGTGAACGAAGTCAAAGGAGATACAGGAGATCCTGTAGTATTCGGCCATTCAGTGCCTCATACTAAGCAACCTACATTCAACTTCCTCAGTAGCCACATCCCATGTACACATACTGAGCCACGGATCACATTTTCTTTGATTGCTCACGAAACTGTTCCAATGTCTCACTAGGTCAAGGACCCATGCTTGGGTGCAGAAGAATCCCTGGAGTGCATACAGATGTGGGTTCAAGTGAGCTCAGTGGGTTCATACACAGTGATGCAGGTGTAACCATTGTATCTGCTGTACAAATGGCAGTACAGCTCTTAGTACCTAGCTGTTCTCTACCATAAACATATTCACTGCTTTCTGCTTCCAGACAAAGATGAGTGTATGGAAAGAATGCCACGAAAGTGCCCCTCCAAGGCTAACTGCATCAATTTGTATGGATCCTACCATTGTCGTTGCCCAGCAGGATTTGAAGGAGATGGATTGTACAGCTGCACAGGTGAAAGAAAACAGGCTCCGAACTCCAAGGACATATTGTAATCAGACTAGCTTATGAGCTAATCTCTTGCAACTGTTAGGTTTAGGAAAAAGGTTGTTTTTTTTTTGTTTTTTTTTTTAAGCCTGCATAATTGAAATAGGTAAACAAAGAGAAGATGGGCTTGTGATACAGGGCTCAAAGCAAGCAGTGGATGTGGCATTTGGATAAACTCAGGAAAAGGCCAGGCTGGCAGATCTATCACAATAACTCAGACTTGGGGAGGCCATTGGAAACGAAGTCCCACTCCTTGCTGGGCCTCCAGTCAAGCCAAACTCAAGCCAAAATCCATGATGCTTCCCCTGGGTTGGTGTCTGGTGATTTTTTTTTTTTTTTTTTTTTTTTTTGTGAGAGTTCTGTGTAAGCTGCATTTTAAGTGAGAAAACTTGGTGCAGGTTTCTGTCCCCTTTCTAGATATAGATGAGTGTGCAAGAGGCACCCACAACTGCAATCGGGATGCTACTTGTCTGAACACTCTTGGCTCCTATTTCTGCATGTGTCAAAGTGGGTTTATTGGTGATGGAGTTCACTGTGAAGGTAAGGATACAGAATCACTCCTTACCTATGACTGGGAAGGGTTGAGGAGCAAAGTGTTTCTAAATCTGGTGCTTTGTTTTTTTGGTTCTTCTGTGTGGCAGCAAAAAGCAGGTGGTTACCATGGTCTCCGTGGTCTGTGTGCACAGTCACCTGTGGATACCAGAACCAGATACGGATCCGCCTGTGCAACCATTCAAAGAGTGGGATGCACTGTGAGGGGTCGTCTGCTGATGTCAAGCTCTGTCCCAGTCTGGAACCATGCCCTAGTGAGTCTGAATATAACTGTATGCTCAGGACAAGAGAATTTAGTATGAGCTCAGCTGCCGCATAAGAGACCATAGTAACTTAAAACTTGTTTCATTCAGGTTTAAAGATATGGAGATTTAGCTCGAACTTAAAGCCACACAGGAGTGGACAGGGGTAACACTGATATCAAAACAGCTTTTACCAGTATCATTTAATACTGATGTAACTGTTACATCTATTTGTCCACAGCCAGAATATCCTTTGCATGACATGCCGCTTTTATCCTGATGTCAACTGAACAAATTGGGACCCCATTTAACTGCACCTTGTATAGATATTTTCACCAGGGCAAAGTGGGTATAAAGCACTTCTACATCAGAATGTCAACACTGCATCAGCTTGCATGGGTACAAACAGCTACAGAAGATCCAGGGGTCTTAGTTGGCAACCTTAAGAACAGTCTTTCATCTCCTGCATTTGATGGAGAGAGAACATAATTGGACTGGATGTGGTCATGCACTTGCCAGCATGTTCACACACACCTTTTTAGAAGTCTGCCTTGCTTGACGAGGCTTGCTGAGCCATGATGTCACATCCTCCCATTGTGACAGTGTCACAACACTGGTGATAACTGAGTATGCTTTAACACCCTCCAAGCCTGGTTTGGAGTGTGTCCAGAAGCCTTAACAATTATAGAACAAGTGGTCACTCTCCACCAAGTTTCCAGATGTGACAACCAAGACCATAGCTTCAGCAAACTCATAACAAGGAGTCAAGTGGAGACATAGCTCTGCTATAAGTGAGTGCAATTCCCCTGGCTTCCGTGTCCTGACTTACTGTTTCCCATTATCCTCAATGATGTGAAAACCCATTAGTAAATCTCGGCACGTGCCATGCAGGAACACTCCAACACACATCACTACCCATTCAGAATGAAGGAATTCAGGATTTCTGAATTCAGGATCAAGGCGGATGTCAGGCATGAGGCCTAAGGCCTGTCACCTAAGTCAGGGAAGTGAGAAAAAACTTTTGTTTCCTTTCAGCAGCAAAGAGTCAGTGGTCAGCATGGTCACCTTGGTCAGCATGTTCACACACCTGCTCTGGGATTAAGAAAAGAATCCGGATGTGCAATAGTCCCACTCCCTCCCAAGGAGGCTTGCCCTGTGCTGGGTTAAAGGAGGAAATTGCCTTGTGCAACAAAAGATGCCCAGGTACAGCTTCCACTCTGGACCCTGTAGCATGTCACCAAAACATCTGCTGCTTTCACCAGTGGCAGGTGAGACCAAGAGGAAGGCTTTTTGCAAAAGCAGTGTCAAAAGTGCTCTCATTTCATCCTGTACTTTTCTCCCCACTCCTAACTGCTGTCTCTTTCGGTCTTCCTCCCTCAAATAGACACGCATCTTCTTTACGCTCAGATGCTCAGAACAGGGTGCATTTTCCTACATGCCAAATGTGTCTCCATATTAAAACCTCTTTTGTGAAGTATTCTGGTGGTGATCTCTACTCTCATAGTCGCCATGGCTGCTTATATCTGAACTGCTGCTCTGTATCTTCACCTGATTTGGTCTATAAGTTGTTGGGGGGCTTTTCAGAGCAGGATTCCTGTGGGTTTTTTTTAAGTATCTGTACATTGTCAAGTAGTCTCTCTCTGTGGCTATGAATAATAAAATTATGTATAATAAGGATAGCACCAGATGAAAAACTGGCAGACCCCAGATGTGCATGAACAGATTTTCAAAAGTTTATTTGACGTTCTCTTCCCTAAATTTTTGACATTCATATTTAAATATGACTAAAATTGGTAATGTCCATGTAATAATACTGGTCTCTCTGTATCTCAGTTGATGGAATGTGGTCCCCATGGACACCTTGGACTCCTTGTCTTATCTCTTGTGGGCTGGGAGTGGTGAGCCGTTCTCGTTGGTGTAATAATCCTGCCCCACAGCACGAAGGAAAAAACTGCACTGGCCATGCACATGAGGAAGGCACCTGTGGATTTCCAGTAAGTCATAGACAACTGTCTGCCAAAAGATTTTTGTACTTGTACAATCTATTCCATCTGTGTGCATACTGGATGTGTATATTTATTTAAACACCAGTCCCAAGTTGTTGCCTGTTTACATTGTAGCAAATCCCTATTATTTGTACAAATATCTTAGATGCACAGCATCTTTCAATATCAATGAATTGTATTCCCCTTTACCTGTACCATAAATGGTGAAAGGGAGGCAGCTTTTAAGGGGCTGCTGTTGGAAACCTTGAAAATGACTGGAAGTAGCCCGTTTCACAGCTGCTGCCGCTCCTGCCTTTCAATAACAGCCCTGACACTGACCGCTAGAAGCTCTGAGGATGAGGGGAGCTAGTCCCTTCACAGGCTATAGTGCTGTAATAGCCCAGTACTAATGGTGCTGGGTGCTTGAGGAACTCCTGTTTATATAAGCGCACGAGCGGGGAAGTGCTCAGCCCTTTTTTTCAGTTCTGAGACTATGGGCTTAAAGGGAAAGCCCTGTGCTTCTTGGGGAGACAGTAACAAGCTACAGGCAGATTCAGTGATTAAGCAGACACAAAAATACTATTGGAAGTAGTAGCAGTATTATTGTGTTATATGATGATGATGATGATTAATACAAACTAATGTAGAGTGGGATATCTTGGGAGTTGTAGCATCCCCCCAACTACCCAGAGAAGTGAAGTGAAGGAGAAACAGGCCAAAGTGGTACTGGGCCATAAAAGCTGCCACTGACTGGGTCAGACCATGCATCCACCTCGCCCAAGGGCAGGGAGCAGAGCCTGAAAGGGAGTGAACTGGGCACAGCCCCTACTTGCAGCCTCCAGCATCTCAGCCCAGGGAGGTTGATGCAGAGGCCTTGCCCCTGCCCTGCTCAATAGCTCCTGACGCAGCAGGAGAGCACGGCTGGCCCCTGCCACAGCCCTACGCCCCTGTGATTTCCCCTCTCTCCCTCCCTCAACCACCCAGTCCCCGGCCCGGACCTCAGCACCAGGCTGGTCCTGACGTACTCATGAGTAGCGGCTTGTGTTGAAGCCCGAGGGGCCGGGCCCGGGGCCTTCCCAAGGGATCTCCGTCCGTCCCGGCACCCGCGGGAGGGTTGCTAGGCCGCGCCAGGCTCACGGCCGCCTCCTCCTCATCTGTCCGCAGGAGATCGTCTGCCGCTACCTGAGGAGCCCGCGGGGACCGCGCCCGTGAGCGCCCCGCCGGCCCGGCCCGGCCCGGCTCCGCGGAGGAATAAAGGCACGAGACTGGACGACACGGCTCCGGCGCTGTCTTTGTTGCGGGGCGGGGCAGATGGCTTCTGCTTCCGGGGTCGCGGACCTAGAGGGCGGTGGGGGTCATGGGGGCAGGCCGGCTTCCGCTT